GTGGCATCGCCAGCCCCAGGGCCCGGGGCGGGGGCTGGGGGGGCAGGTTCAGCACTGTAGCCTCTCCCCTTTTCCCTGGGCCTGGCTCCTGAGGGGATGTGTTGGGGGTCCTCCTTGCTGGGCTGAGGAGAACCTGTTTCTCCCCAGAGCTGGCGGTGCCTCCAGGGAAAGGACAGGCCAGCCGAGGCTGTGTTTCCAGGAGCCCCGTGGTGGAGGGAGCAGCATGGAGCCCTGGGCCTTGGATGGGGAGGGGGGTACCCTCTCTCCCGCCCGCACGCTGTCCCGTCCTGCCAGAGGGAGGAGGCAGCTGCTGGCTCGGGATAAGTGGGTTACATAACCTCTGCAGCGGCCCCTCTGGAGCCCGTTCCCCCCAAGCCCTGTTTCCAGCGTGGCGGCCAGCGCAGGGGTGGGGGTGACGGGCTGGGGCCTGGCACTCGCCCCCGCCGCTGACCACACGCGTCTGGAATGTGCAGATGTTTCCTTGGGGGCTCCGGCTGGCCCCCAGACCCCGCCCAGCATCTGGACTGGGGAACGGGCACACGAACCACTCCTCTCCCTGGCAGAGGAGGAAACTGAGGCCACTCAGGGCTGCAGGTCGGTCCCAGCTTCTCTGGGGCCTCCAGTTCCTCAGCTCTAGAAGGGTAGACTGCTCTTGGAGCCACCCCAGGCTCAGGAACACACCAGACCTGCTTGTGACCACCCTCTCCTTGGCTTCTAACTTCATGTACCCTGATCCACTCCCCTCTTCCGGTGCAGCCCTTTCTCACCTCTCCCCGCTGGGACCCTGAAATGTGAGCAGGGGCGGGACGCAGGTGCTGAGCCTTGTGTGGGGAGGGCATGGGGGAGCTGCCTATTGATGGGGGTCCTTCAGCACCTTCTGCTGGGCACCTCCAGCTTGGTGGTGGAAGCAAGGACCCTCCACCAGGCTTCTGCTTGGAGCAGGAAAGAGCAGACCCAGACATTCAGGGACATGCCGTTGGCGGCCTGTACCCCAGGGGAGGCTGGTGTCCCCCCTCATGAAGATGTCTGGAAGGCAGGGGGAGCATGGGGGAAAGCCTGGGCTCCCCAGTGGACTACTGGGTCACTATGGGGGAGGAGAAGGAAGGCCAGCTTCTCAACCTGATCCCTGGTGCCTGGGGAGGTGACATGTGTCTTGTGCTGTCGTGGGTGTGTGCCTGTTCCCTGGTGGTGTGTGGGTCCCCAGGTCACCCACCTCCTCCCTAAGCTGGCCTGACCCCTCCAGCCCTGGCCTGGGGATCTGTGGAGGTTGCTTATGTGGGCCTTAGAGGGGCTGGGGAGTATCTAACTGGCCCAGAGGGTGGGCCCTGCTTGGCCCGGGACCTCTTAGGGGTGCTGTCCAGCCAGGCTGCTGGCCCTCCTCCCAGTAGGGGCTGGCCGCTGCTTGGCCAGCCCCTGTGGCTTGGGCTGTGCTGGGCTCCTTCGGCGGCTCCCTGGGCCTGCTGTGTCTCTTTCCTGCAGTTGTAAGACCTGGGGAACACCGGTGTGGGGGCAGGGTGTCAGACTGTGATGATGTCACCTGGGGGGGAGGGCTGGCCGAGGCCTCCTTGGCATTCCCCCAGAACATTGATGGCAAGAATAAATGTGGACAAATGGCTGTTGAGGACCTTGGGGGCGTGGGACTGGGTGAGGACCCTACCAGTGTTTTCTTTCCATGTCCTCCTTCCAGTGACCCCCAGAGCTCCCCCTCAGGGTCCCCTCTGCCCTTCCCATCTCTCCCAGTGTACACCATTACCCATGGCCTGGCCCACACAGACGCTCCCACACCCTGGGGCACGCTGGGGGGCTGGGGCTCGGGGCCTGGTATGCCCTTGGGGAACGGGACCTTGGCTGCGGAAGATCCTGGGGAGCCTGTTGATACTTTCTGTGCACCAGGGGCCAGGCTAGGCCCAGGTGAGTGCCGGGGGGGCGGGGCTCAACTGGGCCCTGGAGAGCAGGGAGCATGTGGCCAGTGCCCGTGACTGACTGACTGACTGACGTGGGGCCTTCCGCATGCAGGGGAGGGGAGCCTCAATGGGGCTGCTGGGCCACGCAGAGCTGGATAGAGGACTTAACTGGCCCGAGGATGGCCTAGAGCCACGGGCCAGGGAGGCCAGGGTCAGCGATGTCCTGACGGGCCAGGGTGGGTGCTGGCTGAGTGGCCTGGACGCTGAGCTTGACCTGCCCCGCCCACCCGCTGCCCTGGTTTCTCAGGCACCATGGGCGGTTCCCAGCAGCTGCCACTCATGATGGATTTTCCAGAAAATGGGATGTGGAAAACATTTTAGGGATTTTCCTTCTTTCTTTTGTCTTCTGCTTGAGGCCCAAGCTGGGAAGCTCTCCTGGGAACCCCTGGTGGGGCTCATGCCTATGCTCACCCTCATGTCCTGCCGCCCCCAGGCCCCACCTTTCTGGATCATCTCTCTGTTGCTTCCTGTGCCCCTGCAACCTGATTCTTCCTCAGAGAACAAACATTAGGAGGTTCCTACATAGGTCTAGCTGAAGTTTCTCCTGCCACAGCCACTGCCACTCCAGAGCATTGTGCTTGACCAGTTGGGTGGGAGTCCGGCCAACCTCTCCCTGGTCTCCTGGCCTGCCCACCCTGCCCTGGGAGTGGGAGCGCGCCAGCTGCGGTGAGCCTGTGGAACACAGGGTGGGCAGTGTACCCTAGGGGAAGGCCCAGCCCGACCCATCAGAAAGCACCCCTTTCTCTGCCATGTGTGAGAAGGGACAGGGGAATCTAGGCTCCATTGTGGAGGGCACAGGTGACCTAGCCAGAAAATGCTGTCCCCATGTGCCCTAACCCCCAAAGGCCTCTCCAGCCATGGAGTTCCTGGAACCCAGGTTCTGGGCGGAGACGGACCTGCGCGTATAGCCACACGCACGCTGTCTCTCTGTGTGTCCACCTTCCCCCCCAGATGGGAAGCCGAGAGGCTCGCTGAGACCAGCACCTTGTCCAGAGCACCGAGCTGGGATGGGGCAGGGCTCTGGCCCGAGCCTGTGGTCAGTGAGAGTGCCACTTCTTGAGTGGAGGCGGCCTTGCTGCCCCAACCTCCTCTTCCAATGGGGCTCCTGGCCCCCCTTGCCAGCCCCCTCGCCGCCGTTCCCGTCTGAAACTCCCATTCCAGGCCCCTGGGGCAGCCTGTCCATCCACTCCTACCCTATTTCTCCTACTTAAAGGGCAAAATGAGGGTGGAAAACTCAGGGGACTCGCGTGCTCTCCAGATTGGAGCTGCTATGATGCACCCTTTCTGGCACTTTCTTTAGATCTTAGTTTGAACAGTTGCAGGGGGAGGGGCTGCATTTTGCACCTGGATTTCTCTTGTGTCTATGCTGAGGGGGCTGCACCCACCGATCAACTGATGGGCTCTAGTCGCTGCCACTGTAAATCCTGTCTCTCCCCACAGATGAGGGGAGGGGCGTCCGTGGTGACCCTGGTTCTTGGGCCTGGGGGCCCCCTGCCAAGTGAGGCTCCAGCTTGTGCTGCATTTTTGAACCTCTTGCCTGGAAGTTGAACTTTGCCAAGTTAGCCGCCCTGGCTCCTGCTTGGTTGGGCATCCCGGTCACAGCAGTGGGGGGCCGCTCCAGGTGGAGACCCCCGGCCCCCAGCCCCACCTGCTCCCAACAGGAGCTCCAGCCCTACCCGCCCCACGCTTCCAGGGGGATGGGAGCCCCTCTGGGCCTGGCTTCCCACTTGGGCCACAGTATCCTGCTGATGCCCCTCCAGGCGGCCCCTTGGCTGTGTTGGGGGCCAGGTTGGCAGAGTGGCCTGGCAAAGGCCCAGTTCGCAGCCCCTAGCCCTTGTTGGTCGCCATGAGACCCGTGTGGCCAGCAGGCCTCCCGGGTGAAGCAGCGGTCAGGCTGTGGTGGGGGTCATTTCCTGAGCGTGGTTCCAGACGTGGTCTGCAGCATCATGAGCCAGGCCAGGGTGCTGCTCCAGGCATCCCAGCCTGCAAAGCCCTGGGACCCCCCCCTCCCCCATGTCCTCAGGGGCCTGTGTGTGCACCTCAGCTCTCCCACGAGGACCTTGTTTTCGCACCAGCCCCTTCTCAGGTCCTGCTGGAGCAGCTGTCTGGTAGGTGCGTGCGGAAAGGGCGCCGGAGCCTTTGACCCTGCTGGAAGTTGGTAGCACGCTTCCCGTCCTGTTGTCTGGTTTTATTTATGATGCTTTGTGTGGAGGTTGCGTGTTTTTCTGTAGTTGGATCTTCTGGCTTTGCCGTTTGATTGCTGCTGGTGCCTGACGCTTGGAGAAGCGTGTGATGCTCTCCTGTATTCTTCCCGTCAGTTGTCACCTTTGGCTTCAGGCTTTGTGACACTCGCCCTTCCCAGTGGGTGTTGAACCTCCTGGGGTTTATGGAGAGCCTGCTGTCACTCCTGGTCCGCTGTGCCCTTGCGTGGACTCTGGCGGGGCCCGCCTGTCTCTGGAGGGTCCGCCTAACACAGCAGCGCGGTCGGACACAGTGCACGTCTCCCCTTTCAGCCGGCCTCCCTGATTCCTGCCCAGCTATGCTTCCTGTTGAATCTGTGTGTTACCTTGTAGACCACGCCGGTGTTTGTTCTGGGGTCCTGTTCACCTCATGTTTACTGTGGCCTGTCACCGTAGCTCTGAGATGAGGTGGTCCCCCAGGGTCCCCTCCCTGCTTATCTGGTCTTTGTGCCCCACCGTGTCTTGGCACTCAGAGGCCAGCCCTCCCTCAAGCAGGCAGCAGCGAGGCCCCTGGCCCTGGAGACCCTTGGGCTGCTGTGGTGTGTTTCAGGCCCTATGTGGGATGGCACTGCTGGGGCGGCGGGCGGGGGACTGGGCAGAGGAGGGGAGTGGGGCAGGGCGGGGACGGAGTCCTGAGGGCTCCTGGCCCTCTCCTGCTCTGTTCATTTGGATCCTCTATCCTGGCCTCAAGAGCAGGGAGTTGGAGGGTGTGGGGGAGCCTCTGGAGGTGGGCCTGGGTCTGCTTTGTGCCCTCTCCGGGGCTCCAGCACTGACCAGTGACCACCTTGCTCCCCAGAGATGTCTCCCACAACCTGCTCCGGGCCCTGGACATGGGGCTCCTGGCGAACCTCTCCGCACTGACAGAGCTGTAAGTATCCGCTCCAGGGGGCTGTGTGATTCCACGGGGTGGGCAGGTGGCGGCTGCCTGTCACCATTTCTGTTATGGGGGCTTCCTTCGGACCTTGCTGAATCCCCCCCTTTCTTCCAGGGACATAAGTAACAACAAGATTTCTACTTTAGAAGAAGGAATATTTGCTAATTTATTTAATTTAAGTGAAATGTAAGTTGTTTTTGGTGGGTGTCAGTAGCCAAGCCCGACCCCCCCCCGACCCCCCCCCCAGTTACCCTCCCTGCCCTCCTTACCTGGCCTCCGTGCCCATTCCTGTTTGAGACCAGGCGCTGGGCGCTGTGTGCTTGCCCACCGGAGCTCTTGCGGGGCCCGGCACTGCCACAGGGATGGCGGGGTGCTGTGCTTGTGAGAGCACCCCAGGCCCCTGCTCCTTGCGTTGAGGCCAGCAGAGACCCTTCCTCGGGGCCCCCTCACCTGCCCTGCTATCCGCTGAGCGCCCGGCCTTGCGCCTCCCGCAGAAACTTGAGCGGAAACCCGCTGGAGTGTGACTGTGGTCTGGCGTGGCTGCCTCGCTGGGTGGAGGAGCGGCAGGTTCGCGTGGTTCAGCCCGAGGCGGCCACATGTGCTGGGCCCGGCCCCCTAGCTGGCCGGCCCCTCCTCGGTGTCCCCTTGTTGGATGGCGGCTGTGGTGAGTGTGGCTGGAGCTGGGCCAGCTGGGGCCTTCCCTGCTGGGCAGGTCCCTGTAGGTGCTCCGGGGTCACCAGCCTGGGTGGGGGCGGGTGGGGCTGGAAGGCGTGTGGACAGTAGTCACGGTGGTTGAGACAGACCGGGTTGGGGGCCTGGAGGCCCTGTGGGCCAAGGGGCCAGTGCAGGTGGGAGGTGGCGAGAGCAGCGGGGTGATGTGATGTGGGATCCAGAGCGGGGTTATGCCAGGGACCAGCCTGTCTGCTCCGTCCAGGTGAGGAGTACATCGCCTGCCTTCCTGACAACAGCTCGGGCGCTGCGGTGCTGGCGGCCTTCTCAGCTGCCCACGAGGGCCCATTGACACCTGCGGCCTGCAGTGCCTTCTGTTTCGCGGCCGGCCAGGGCCTCGGGGCCCTCTCAGACCAGGGCTGGTGCCTGTGCGGGGTGGCCCGGCCCCCCAACGCCTCCTCGGCCTGCCTGCCCTTCTGCTCCAGCACACCATCACCCCTCGCCCCTGCCTGCAGGGGCCCCACCCTCCTCCGGAACATCTTCCCTGCCTCCCCAGGGGCCGCCCTGGTGGGGCCTCAGGGACCCCTGGCCTCTGGCCAGCCAGCAGCCTTCCACGTCACTGCCTCCCTGCCCGTCAGCTCCACACACTGGGACTTCGGCGACGGCTCCCCCAAGGTGGACGTTGCTGGCCCCGCCACCATGCACCGCTACGTGCTGCCCGGCCGCTATCACGTGACGGCTGTGTTGGCCCTGGGGGCCGGCTCCGCCCGGCTGGGGGCCGAGGTGCAGGTGGAGGCGGCCCCCGTGGCCCTGGAGCTCACGTGTCACGTCTCGGTGCGCAGTGACGAGACCCTCAAGCTTGGTGTCCGAAATCGTGGCGGCTCAGACCTCGAAGCCACATACAGCATTGTGGCTGTGGGCGAGGAGCCAGCACGAGGTGGGTCCCCTGCCGCCCCCAGGCCTGGGTCGTCCCTCCCCTCCTCACCCCCAGGGGCTGGTGTGGGTGGGGCGGTCCTGGTTGGGGACACACTGATGCCTCCTTCTCTGCCCGCCGACCCCGTAGTGGTGCACCCGCTCTGCCCCTCGGACACCGCAATCTTCCCCGGCAATGGGCACTGCTACCGCCTGGTGGCAGAGAAGGCTGCCTGGCTGCAGGCGCAGGAGCAGTGCCGGGCCTGGGCCGGGGCCGCCCTGGCCATGGTGGACAGTCCCGCCGTCCAGCGCTTCCTGGTCTCCCAGGTCACCAGGTACCACCCCCCGAGAGGCTGTGAGGTGGGGTCCCCGGAATGCTGGGGTGGAGACAGAGCCTAAGGCCTGAGGAGGATCAGGAGGACAGGTGGGGGTGGCTGGAGGAGCCACATCCAGCTGGCTGGCCTGACTGCAGCCACAGAGCCCTGTCTTGCTCAGCTGACGCCGTTCCTATCAGCTCTCCGCACAGAGATGTGGGCGTGGGGGTAGGGTTGATGCATCCCGGGTCCACAGGCTGCCCACCCCCTGCTGTCCCCTGCTGAGCCCCTCCTGGCAAGGGTAGGGCTGGTTCTGGTGTGACCATGGAGGCTGCCCTTGGCCCCCCAGGCCCGAGAGGAAATGTGCTTCCCTGTAGCCAGCACCAGCCCTCCCCCCAGCCGTCAGCGCTTGCTGCAGCCGGAGGCCAGATGCCCATTTCTCCCCGTGTCCCTTTGTGGGAAGGGGCCGACCAGACTGTGGATCATACCCTGGACATCCTCGGTGTCCGGAAGGGGAAATCGAGGCCCAGAATGGTCAAGGCCCACCTGGTTAACTGGCAGTAGCCGGGCCCCAGTGCCACCAAAACCTACACCCAGAGCTGCTTTTTTTTTTTTTTTTAAGTTTTTTTTTTTTTTTAATTTTTTTTTTTTTTTTTTTATCCATTTGAGAGAGAGAGGGAGGGAGAGAGAGAAGGGGAAGGGGGCAGAGGCAGGAGGAGAGGGAGAATCTCAAGCAGGCTCCCCGCTGAGCACAGAGCCTGACGCAGGGCTCAATCTCACAACCCTGAGATCATGACCTGAGCCGAAACCAAGAGTCGGCCATTCAACCGACTCTGCCCCCTGGGGGCCCCCACACCCAGAGACCTGTCACAGAATACACAGCCCTTGGCCAGACTGAAGCGTCCCCCTGCAAGGAGCCCTCAGCTGGACCCCTGGCCCTAGGCATGGCTGCTATGTGGACACTGACGTGGCCTTGCTTGCCAGGTCATCTCTCTGGGCCTCAATTTCCCCATCTAGAGATGGGGACAGGGGCAAGGCCTCCCTGAGGGGCTGCCGTGAGGAGCAGGCTCCCGGAGAGAGGGCAGATGGAGTGGTGCCTGTTTTCGGGGAGCCCCTGAGCGTCCACTCTCCTCTCCGCCTGCCTGCAGGAGCCTGGATGTGTGGATTGGCTTCTCCTCTGTGGAGGGGGCGGAGGCGGGCCCCATGGTGCGGGACGAGACCTTCAGCCTGGAGAGCTGCCAGAACTGGCTGCCTGGGGAGCCGCACCCTGCCACGGCTGAGCGCTGTGTGCGGCTCGGGCCTGCAGGGCAGTGCAACACGGACCTGTGCTCAGTGCCCCACAGCTATGTCTGTGAGCTGCGGCCTGGAGGTGCGCCGGGGCCCCTGGAGGCGCTGCGGGTCACCTCTGTCCTGGACCAGGACTGCTGCCCCCCCACCACCACCACCGTGCAGGGTCTCCTGGGTGTCCCAGGGCCTCCTCCTGTCCTGGCCAGGACAGTCACATCCCTCATCCCAGGCTCATTCCTTAGCTGTTCAGTGTCCATTAGGTGTCACTGAGCACCTGTGGTCCTGAGCAGAGCCTGCACCCAGTGAGACAGACAAAGCTGGGGGGTAGCTGTCTGAGGCTACTGCTGGGGGGCTCAGTCCCAGGTCCGGCCCCGCCTCGGGCCCATGACGCTCTCCTCGTCATTGCACACTTGCCATCCCAGGTCCTGTGTGGGACGCAGAGACCTTCCTCGTGGGAGCGCCCAGTGGGGACCTGCAGGGACCCTTGAGCCCCCTGGCACAGCAGGAGGCCCTCTTGGCCCCCCAGGAGCTTGTCGAGGTAGGCTGACCCCAGGACCCTCCAGGACACAGTTTGGAGACTGAGCCTTGGCCTGGCTGCTGTGTTCCTTTAAAAATAAGCTCTTTTTTCTGGGCCTTCCCAATGTCCTGTGTGCCCAGTAGAGACGCTGTAGGAAACCCACTACCTTGCAGAGAGAAGCAGCACCTCCTCCCAGTATCTGAGAGCCCTGAATGCTCCTGAGCCTTCTCTCTGGGTGTTTGTGGGCTTTTTCACAAAACAAGGTGGTGGTCCTGCTTGCTCCTAGGTGGTTTTGACCTGATTTCTCATCCTGAGTGACTCTTCCTCAGTGTAAAGCCCCGTCTGGTGGCTCCTTCCCCTCTGAGCCGGCAGGGCTGGGGCTGGCTGGGGTTCGGGGTCTGTGGAGCTGAGCAGCCCCGTCCCCCCAGGTGATGGTGTTCCCCAGCCTGGGCGTGAGCAGGGAAGCCTTCCTCACCGCGGCCGAGTTTGGCACCCAGGAGCTCCACCAGCCCACCCAGCTGCGGCTGCAAGTGTTCCGGCCCACAGCAGAAGCAGGTGGGACTCTGTCCTGGGGAGGGGGGGTGTCTGTGCGGTCACAAGCACTGGTCCCTTGGCCACTGGACAGGTCTTCAGCCTTGAGGTGGACAGAGTGGTGTCCACAGAGAAACCAACTCAGGCTCAGATCTGCAGGACTGCCTGTGTGGGGCTCGCCTGCGTCAGTCAGCTGGCTCAGTGTTGGGGGGCCGGGAGGGGGGTAGAGGAGTGATGCTGGGGGCCGGGGTGCTGCCTGGCAAGGCCTTGTGTCATCGTGGGGGCGCCCCTGACTGGCTTGATAGTGGGCCAGGGCCCCGACACCCCTCTTCTCCTTGCAGGGGCCCCAGGAAGCAGCAGGGAACCTGAGAGCAGGTCCCTGGAGAGCCCGACTGAGTCAATCCCTGCGTGCACCCCAGAGGGACGCTGGTGCCCCCGAGCTAGTCTCCACCTGCCACTGGATGACCCCTGCCCCCCCCGGGCCTGTGCCAATGGGTCCACGTCAGGGCCGGGAGCCAGCGGGGCCTCCTGTGCACTGTGGAAGGAGCTCCTCTTCTCCCTGCCGCCGGGCCCTCCCACCCAGTACTCAGTATGTGTCACCGGCCTGGTGCCATCTGCCTCCCGCTCTGCTGCCCGCCCGCACACACGGCACACCCCGCCCCTGCCCCTGCCCTGCACTGGCCTTTCCGCTCGTTTTGGCCGCAGTGTCCCTCAGAGGTCCCGCCCTGTCCGGGACCCACCCCACCTGCATCCTTGCTCTCTGCGCACAACCCTGTCCCAGAGCCTGTCCCGTCCGTCCCTGCCCTGAGTACCTGGGGGGCCCCTATGAGGCCCGGCGGAGTGCGTGTGAGTCCAGGTTACCCCGGGTGGACCCTGCCCAGCTGCTCCTTTGCAGCCCCCCGACCAGGGTGGTCCACTGTGAGGACCTGATGCAGCCTGCCTTTGTCTCCCATAGGTCACCTTCCATGGCCAGGACAGCCCCCTGCTCCCTGGTGACCTCATTGTCTTGCAGCACGACGCTGGCCCGGGCGCCCTTCTGCGCTGCCCGCCGGCCCTGGGCGCCCCTGGCGCCGAGGCCCCATACTTCTCCACCACTGCCACGGCCTGGCTGGCTCACCTGCCCACTCAGCTGGAGGCAGCCCCAGCTGGCCCGGCCTGCGCCTTGCGGCTGCTCGCCGCCACGGAGCGCCTCACCCCCCTGCTGGGCCTGCGGCCCAACCCAGGGCTGCGGCGGCCGGGGCGCTATGAGGTGCGGGCCACGGTGCGCAACAGTGTGTGCACCCACAACCTGTCCTGCAGCTTCGATGTGCTCTCGCCGGTGGCCGGGCTACGGGTGGCCCATCCCACGCCCCAGGATGGCCATCTCTATGTGCCCACCAGCGGCTCAGCCTTGGTACTGCGGGCGGACTCCGGCACCAACACCACAGCCACAGCCCACTGGCCCGGGGGCAATGTCAGCGCACCCTTCGGAGCCGCCTGCCCTGCCGCGGTGGCTGCCCTGGTGCCCGGCTGCACCCTCGAGGACAACTCCACCCTGTTCTCCGTGCTGCCACTGCCTGGGCTGAGCGAGGGCGAGCACGTCGTCGAGGTCGTGGTGGAGAATGGCGCCGGCCAGGCCAGCCTCAGCCTGCGGGTGAAGGCCGAGGAGCCTATCCGTGGCCTTCGTGCCACTCCCAGCCCTGAAGCCCGCGTGCTGCAGGGCGTCTTGGTGGTAAGTGGGGCCGGCCGGCCCACCCCGAGCCCCCCCGAGATGAAGGGCCCGTGCCGAGAGCAGCCCCTCCCCGGCGAGGGGGAGCTTGGCCTCGGGACAGCAGGCTCTGTGGCTGGTTCCGGGCAGCTTCTGCTGGGTGGCTCCCAAGTCCCTGAGAGTTCCCACTAAAGCGGCAGCCCTGACGGTGCTGCATTCCGCCCCGCTGTTCTCGAGAAGCCCGCAGCATGCCTATGCCCGCTGCCACCCTCATCAAGCCTGAGCGTGCCCTCGAGGCCCCTGCTGTGTTCCCGCCAGGCTGAAGGGAGTACTTTCTGAGGGTCTGGTGCTCCCTGTCCCAGGCTGTCCCCCCACACCGGGCAGCCACAGCTCCGTGGCCTTCACACAGGGGCCGTGAGAAGGGCTGTTTCTGACCCCTACCACTCATGCAGTCATGTGCCTCAACTTCCCCTGGTCACACCCATTCTGTTGGCTGACGGGGGTGCACCTCCAAAACCACAGGGCCCTTTGAGACTCACGTGCCATCCCAGGCGGCCTGTGCAGGAACCTGGGGACAGGCTGTAGGGAGGTTCAGAAATGGTGGGCTCTTTCTGTCGCTGGTACCGGGTCGCTGTCCAGATAGGAAAAGTGAGGGCCTGAGAGGTTGGAGTGCATGGCGGTCCAAGCTCAGCCCCACACCCTGTGGCCCCTCCAGCTTCCCCCTCCCCCGTGGTGTCTTGAAGTCAGCCCGGGAAGCCCCACCAGGAGGCATGTCTGGGGGGGGGGGGCCATGGGCTTAGGGCAGAATTGGCCACCAAAGCCCCGGGGCTGGCCGACACTGTGCCCTTCCTGCAGAGGTACAGCCCCGTGGTGGAGGCTGGCTCGGACGTGGTCTTCCGCTGGACCATTGATGACAAGCAGTCCCTGACCTTCCACAACGTGGTCTTCAACGTCATCTACCAGAGCGCTGCGGTCTTCAAGCTCTCGGTGGGTGGGGGGCACCAATGGGGGCAGGGGTGGGCTGGGACGTGCGGCGCTTACCTTTGCCTTCTGTTCTGCTTTGCTCCCGAGGACCCCTCGCCTGGCTGTGGGTGAGTGCGGGGGGAGGGCTCTGTGCTGCCTCGCGGCCTGCGCCCCACCCACGGCAGCCCACATACGCTCCCTGTCTCTGCAGCTGACGGCCTCCAACCACGTGAGCAACGTCACCGTGAACTACAATGTTACCGTGGAGCGGATGCACAGGATGAGGGGCCTTTGGGTGTCTGCAGTGCCGCCTGTGCTGCCCCCCAATGCCACCCTGGCCTTGGCCGCCCATGTGCTGGTGGACTCGGCTGTGGAGGTGGCCTTTCTGTGAGTGTGCCTGGCCCGGTGGGCAGCAGGGTGGGCCATACCCGGGTGGGGCTGGTGCCAGGCTCTTCCCCCAGCCTCCGCCTCCTCACCTGCTCGGAGGTGCTGGGTGCCTGGGACCCTGGGAGTGGGGAGGGGGTGCAGCTGGGCCAATGTGCACCCATCCCCAGCCTGCTCATGGCCCTCCTGCTGCCCTGGTAGGTGGACCTTTGGGGACGGGGACCAGGTGATTGGCCAGTTCAAGCCTCCGTACAATGAGTCCTTCCAGGTCCCAGACCCCACAGTGGCCCAGGTGCTGGTGGAGCACAATGCCACACACAGCTATGCTATCCCAGGTGAGGGCTGGGGCCCACCGACCTGCTGTGGGGACAGTCCCCTCTGTCTAGTCTGGGTTGATGGCCTGGGGCCCTGAATAGGGTGAAGGAGGGGTGTCTGGGGTGAGGGGTGGACTGGGCTGCTGAGCCCCATGATTCAAGTCTCCTGGCCAGAAACTGGACCTCCCTCGGCCCCTACTCAGACCCTTTTTGGGGGAAGAAGGGGGTTACCTTTTATTTTTAAAGTTTGAGAAGCTTCACACGCAGAATAGAGAGTAAACCTCGGTGCCCCCCCCACCTGTGCCTCTCAGTGGCGCTCGCTCTTACCCAGAGAGGGTCTGCTGCTCCTCCCGTTCTGCCTAAGCCCTGCGCCTCGCCCAGTGCTGATGGCGCCCCCCACACACCTCATTGTGAACACCCCCAGGGCAGGGCCCAGGGACCTTCTCCCTCTACATTTTGCCCGGGGCCCTGTTCTGTCGTTCCGAGGGGCCCCAGTGCGCAGCAACATGGGGTTAGGTAGTGACTTCGCCAAGCTGCTGGTGGCGGTGGCCCTGGCCTCGTCCTTACTCAGGCCTGTTCCCCAGGCGAATACAACCTGACCCTGCTGGTGTCCAACACCTTCGAGAACCTGACGCAGCGAGTGCCCGTGAGCGTGCGCACCACCTTACCTGCCGTGGCCGTGGCTGTGGGAAGCCGCATCCTGGTGGCTGGCCAGTCTGTCACCTTCTCCCCATACCCACTGCCCTCACCTGGGGGCATCCTGTACACGTGGGACTTCGGGGATGGCTCCCCGGCTGTGACGCAGCCCCAGCCAGAGGTCGACCACACGTACGCCGCAAGGGGCGTGTACCGCGTTCGTCTGGAGGTCAACAACACGGTGAGCAGTGTGGCAGCCTGCCTCAGTGTCCGTGTCTTTGAGGAGCTTCGGGGCCTGAGCGTGAGCCTGAGCCCGGCTGTAGAGCAGGGCGCACCTGTGACGGTCAGTGCCACACTGGAGTCAGGAGACAACATCACGTGGACTTTCGACATGGGGGATGGCACGGTGTTCACGGGCCTTGAGGCCACAGTGGAGCACGTGTATCTCCGGGCCCAGAACTGCACGGTGACTGTGGGAGTGTCCAGCCCCGCGGGCCACCTCACCCTGAGCCGGCCCGTGCACGTCTTCGTCCTGGAGGTGCTACGGATCGAGCCAGCAGCCTGCATCGCCACGCAGCCCCACGCCTGGTTCACAGCCCATGTCACCGGGGACCCGGCCCACTACGTCTTCGACTGGACATTCGGGGACGGCTCATCTAACACGACCATCGCGGGAGACCCAACAGTGATACACAATTTCACACGGAGCGGGACGTTCCCCTTGGCGCTGGTCCTGTCAAGCCGCGTGAACAAGGCCCATTACTTCACCAGCGTGTGCGTGGAGCCTGAGGTGGGCAACGTGACCCTGTGGCCTGAGAGGCAGTCTGTGCGGCTCGGGGAGGAGGCCCGTCTGGTGGCTCGTGCCTGGCCCCCGTTCCTGTACCGGTACACCTGGGACTCTGGCACTGAGGACGCTGCCCGTGTCGGAGGCCCTGAGGCCACGTTCACTTATGCGGACCCAGGTTCCTACCTCGTGACAGTTGCTGTGTCCAACAACATCTCAGCTGCCAACGACTCTGCCCTCGTGGAGGTGCAGGAGCCCGTGGAGCTCACGGGCATCCAGGTCAACGGCTCTGGCGTGCTGGAGCTGCAGCAGCCCTACCTGTTCTGTGCCGTGGGCCGCGGGAGCCCCGCCACCTACCTGTGGGAACTGGGGGACGGCGGGCACCTCGAGGGCCCCACGGTCACCCATGCCTACAACAGCACGGGCCACTTCGCCGTCAGGGTGAGCGCGTGGAACGAGGTGAGCCGTGCGGAGGCGTGGCTGAACATCACAGTGCAGCAGTGCGTGCGGGGCCTTGGCGTCAACGCCAGCCGCACAGTGGTGCCCCTCAACGGCAGCGTGAGTTTTACCACGTCCCTGGAGGCCGGCAGCGACGTGCGTTACTCCTGGGTGCTGTGCGACCGCTGCACGCCCATCCCCGGGGGCCCCACCATCTCCTACACCTTCCGCTCGGTGGGCACCTTTACCATCATCGTTACCGCCGAGAACAGGGTGGGCGCCGCACAGGACAGCATCTTCATCTACGTCCTGCAGCATATCGAGGGGCTGCAGGTGGTGGGGGGTGGAGGCGGCTGCTGCTTTCCCACCAACCGCACGCTGCAGCTGCAGGCCGTGGTCAGGGATGGCACCAACGTCTCCTACAGCTGGGCCGCCCAGCGGGTTGGAGGCCCGGCCCTGACTGGCAGCGGCAAAACCTTCTCACTCACCGTGCTCGAGGCCGGCACCTACCACATCCAGCTGCGGGCTGCCAACATGCTGGGCAGTGCCTTGGCCAACCGCACCGTGGACTTTGTGGAGCCCGTGGGCTGGCTGGCTGCAGCCGCCTCCCCAAACCCAGCCTCAGTCAATGCCAGCGTCACCCTCTGTGCTGAGCTAGCTGGCGGCAGTGGCGTCATTTATACTTGGTCCCTGGAGGGAGAACGGAGCTGGGAGACCCCAGAGCCATCCACCACCCACGCCTTCCCCAGCCCCGGCCTGTACCTGGTCACGGTCACGGCTGAGAACCAGCTGGGCTCAGCCAATGCCACCCTTGAGGTGGCCGTGCAGGTGCCCGTCAGCGGCCTCAGCATCAGGACCAGCGATCCGGACCGCAGCTTTGTGGCTGCCGGCTCCTCTGTGCCCTTCTGGGGACAGCTGGACTCAGGCACCAATGTGAGCTGGTGCTGGACGGTGCCGGGTGGCAGTAGGCACGGCCAGCACGTTGCCGTGGTCTTCCGTGATGCCGGCACCTTCTCCGTTCTGCTTAACGCCTCCAACGCGGTCAGCTGGGTCATGGCCACCCACGAGCTCACGGTGGAGGAGCCCATTGTGGGCCTGGTGCTGTGGGCCGACAGCAAGGTGGCGGAGCCCGGGCAGCTGGTCCACTTTCAGATCGTGCTGGCTGCTGGCTCCGCCGTGCGCTTCCATCTGCAGGTCAACGGGGCCATCATGGAGGCGCTGCCTGGGCCCCACTTCTCCCGCAGCTTCCTCCGGGTCGGGGACTACGTGGTGAGCGTTCAGGCTGAGAACCATGTGAGCCGGGCCCAGGCCCAGGCGCGCATCTTAGTGCTAGAGGCCGTGGGTGGGCTCCAGGTGCCCAACTGCTGCGAGCCGGGCATCCCCACGGGCACAGAGAGGAACTTCACAGCCCGGGTGCAGCGGGGGTCCCGTGTGGCCTACGCGTGGTACTTCTCCTTGCAAAAGGTCCAGGGGGACTCGCTGGTCATCCTGTCGGGCCGTGATGTCACCTACACCCCCGTGGCCGCAGGGCTGCTGGAAATCCATGTGCGTGCCTTCAACGAGCTGGGCGGGATGAACCTCACGCTTGTGACGGAGGTCCAGGACGCCATCCAGCACGTGGTGCTGCGCAGTGGCCGCTGCTTTACCAACCGCTCAGCCCGGTTCGAGGCCGCCACAAGCCCTAGCCCCCGGCGTGTGGCCTATCACTGGGACTTCGGGGATGGGGCCCCGGTGGAGGACACGGAGGAGCCCTGGGCTGAACACTCCTATCTGCGGCCCGGGGACTACCGCATGGAGGTGAATGCCTCCAACCTGGTGAGCTTCTTCGTGGCGCAGGCTACGGTCACCGTCCACGTGCTGGCCTGCAGGGAGCCCGAGGTGGATGTGGCCCTGCCCCCGCAGGTGCTGATGCGGCGCTCCCAACGCAACTACCTGGAGGCCCACGTCAACCTGCGGGACTGTGTCACCTACCAGACCGAGTACCACTGGCAGGTGTACCGTGCCCCCAGCTGCCAGTGGCCTGGGCGCATGGCCCCCGTGGCCCTGCCCAGTGTGGACGTGAGCCGGCCCCAGCTGGTGGTGCCACGGCTGGCACTGCCTGTCGGCCACTACTGCTTTGTGTTTATGGTGTCATTTGGGGACACGCCACTGGCTCGGAGCATCCAAGCCAACGTGACAGTGGTGCCTGAGCGCCTGGTGCCCATCATCGAGGGTGGCTCGTACCGCGTGTGGTCAGACACTCAGGATCTGGTGCTAGATGGCAGCAAATCCTACGATCCCAACCTGGAGGATGGTGACCAGACACCACTCAGCTTCCACTGGGCCTGTGTGGCCTCGACACAGGTCAGGTGCACTGTGGGGCATGGGCATCCCCTGCCCCCCCCCGCCCCCTCGGTCGTTCGTGCTGAGTCCAGCATAGGGAGGGGGCTCTCCCAGCTCTGCTTTGAAGCCATCCAGGGACTCACGCCCTCTCCCCTATGGCTACAGAGTGAGACTGGTGGGTGTACCCTGACCTTCGGGCCCCGGGGGAGCAGCCTGGTCACCGTCCCACGGGAGCGCCTACAAGCCGGCGTGGAGTACACCTTCAACCTGACCGTGTGGAAGGCAGGCCGGAAGGAGGAGGCCACCAACCAGACGGTGGGTGCTGCTGGCCTGGTCCTTAGCCCAGCAAGGCAGAGCCCCGGGCCCCCAGGGTGGACACAGCTGCCAGGGAGGGCGGAGCATACAGGGCCATCTGCCCCCAGGGAGCACAGAACACTCTGAGGGTTTCCTATGTTGTGCTTCTGGCTAGAAGCTACTGGTTCTCATTAGGAGTTACTACTTTTGATACAATTTCTCTTTAACAAAACATCCCGCTTCAACACTGTTTCCTTCCAAATGGGGCCGTGGTGCTCCAGATCTTTGAGGAGCCCCAGGTGCCGTGAGGATACAGGTCCCCTTCCCAGAACATGGGTGTCCTCGTTACTGAACGGGAGGGGCCTGATCTCACCCCTGCGTGTGCATGTGCTCAACATTCCCTTCCCCTGGATCCTCCAGGCAGGTCAGGACCACAGAGCGGGTGACCCCGGGGCAACCATTCCTGCTGCCTTTGGGTGAGGTGTGCTGATGGGAGCCAGTATGCTAGGCTCTGCTGGTGCCCAGCACAGGGTTGTCTGTCCCCAGCATCAGGCTCTTCCAGCCAGCCTGTCTAGAGGGGCTGTGTGGCGAGGTGGGAGCTTAGAGCAGGGCCTGGATTGGCTGAGGTGGGCCCCGTCCCAGGGCGGCAGGGACCTCAGGGCCGTGCTGTGCACAGCTGCTCAGTCCCCACACAGGCATTCACCCGTCCGTTCTGTTTGTGGGTGAGCACCTGAGGGCCTTGTGTGTGCCAGGCCCACGCTGGGCCTTGGGGGCTACAGAAAAGAAATCCAGTGTGGATTCTTGTCCTTTTGGCTGTTCACCACCATCCCGCAGACTGGGAGACACAAAACCAGTTGAACGTAGTGGGTGAGGGCTGAGCCCACAGTGCCTTGGGAAGCTGGACCTTAGGCTAACAAGCTGGCTGGGCCCAGAGGAGGTTTCCCAACTAGAACGGTACTAAGGCAGAGGCCAGAGGCCCAGCTCCCCTGTGAGCCACCCTCCCCCCCCCGTGGCCCCACTGCATTGTGCAGACTCAGGGGTCTGGGCCCCAGGAGCAGAGGGCCTGACTCAGGTCATGGCTTCCCTGTGATCCCACCCTGTCCCAGGTGTTGATTCGCAGGGGCCGGGTACCCATCGTGTCTTTGGAGTGCGTGTCCTGCAAGGCGCAGGCGGTGTACGCAGTAAGCCGCAGTTCCTACGTGTACCTGGAGGGCCGCTGTGACAACTGCAGCGGGGGCTCCAAACGGGGGGTGAGCGAGCTTGCGGGGGGGGGGGGGCCCCGGGGGGAGGGAGGGGGCGGGGCCTCGGGGAGAGGACAGGGTGGGGGCGGGGCCCCGGGAGGGGGCGGGGCGCGGCTGCTCCGCCCCTCAGCGCAGGCTCTGCGTGTCGCCCCGCAGCGCTGGGCCGCGCGCACCTTCAGCAACCAGACGCTGGTGCTGGACGAGACGACCACGTCAACGGGGAGCTCGGGCATGCGGCTGGTGCTGCGGCGCGGCGTGCTGCGGGATGGCGAAGGTTACACATTCACCCTCACGGTGCTGGGCCGCTTGGGTGAGGAGGAGGGCTGCGCCTCCATCCGTCTCTCGGCCAACCGGCCCCCGCGCGGGGGCTTCTGCCGCCTCTTCCCCCTGGACGCCGTGCGCGCTCTCACCACCAAGGTGCATTTCGAGTGCATAGGTGAGCGCGGCTGCGGATCGTGGGGAGGCATGACGTATGGGCCGCAGGGACTCTGGGGGCGCGGCTGACACTGTGGGGGCCCCCGCAGGCTGGCAGGACGCGGAAGACGCGAGCGCCCCCCTGGTATACGCCCTGCTGCTGCGTCGTTGTCGGCAGGGCCACTGTGAGGAGTTCTGCGTCTATAGGGGCAGTCTCGCCTCCTATGGAGCCGTGCTGCCGCCTGGGTTCGCACCCCACTTCCAGGTGGGCCTGGCCGTGGTTGTGCAGGACCAGCTGGGTGCGGCTGTGGTCGCCCTCAACAGGTGAGCCTGGGCAGGGAGGTCAGGGCAGATGGCAGGTGGGAGCGGGGACTGCCACTCATTCACCGGGGGCCTTTGCACACAGTTCTCTGGCCATCACCCTGCCAGAGCCTCCTGGCGATTCCCCAGGAGGCCCCTCGGACCTCATGACCTGGCTACACAGCCTCACAGAGAGCATGCTGCCCAGGCTACTGAGACAGGCTGACCCCCAGCACGTCATCGAGTACTCGCTGGCCCTCATCACTGTGCTCAATGAGGCCAGCGCGGGGGTGAGGCCTCCCCTTCTCTCGTCTTTCCTCAGCGGGAGGGTGGGGCCGGGCCAGTCCCCGAGGTCTTGCGAATGATCAGTCCCCTGGTGTGTCTCCTTGAAACAACCTCTGTTCTCCACGGTTTCCACCTGTGGGTTCCCCCACCCCTGTGCCCACCCCCTGTAAGGAGTCCTGGGAAAGCCCTCTTTTGCTTCTTAGGAAACAGGACTTGAGCCACCACCTGAGTTTCGTGGTGGCTGAGACGGCCTGCGTGGCGCCTGCCGTCACCACTGGTGGGGCCGCCCATTGCCCACTCAGGGCTCCCCTGTGCTTGCTGCCCGCAGTCTGAGCCGGCCGTGGCTGCAGCAGCAGAGTCAGATGCCAGGCGGCAGCTGCAAGCCCAGATACGCAAGAACGTCACGGAGACCCTGGTCTCCCTGCGGGTCAACACCGTGGATGACATCCAGCAGATCGCGGCAGCGCTGGCCCAGTGCACGGTACGGGGGAGCTCAGGCCCTGCGGCAGACCCTGAGAGCTACCACCACCATCATCCAGGATTTGGGGACTGGACTGGGCAGGGCTGAGCCCACTTTCAGTAGGGTTGGGAAATTGCTGCAGAGCCTTTAGCAGAGAAAGGTACAGAGAATCTTTCCAGGGAGGTGGGGAGCCCTGTGACACGTGGTTCCCATGGCCATGTACGTGGCTTGGGGTGGGACGTAGGGTGGTATTCTGCTGGACCTCGTCTGTGGGTGGGGAGAAGCCACGGAAGAGTTTTCAGCTGGGAGGTATGTGGGTGGAACCCACATTTGGGGTGGCTTTTCCAGCTGCAAGATGAAGGGGCTTGGGGAAAGGCCATGGCCACGGTGGGCGCCCAGCAGCATGGCCAGCGTGCTGGAGCTAAGCTTGGGCTGAGCAGCCAGAGGGGGAGTAGCCCCGTTCAGCCGGGCTGGAGCAGGGCAGAACACGGTGCCGGCCTCCCTGCAGGTGTCCAGCAGGGAGCTGGTGTGCGGCTCCTGCCTGAAGAAGACGCTGCACAAGCTTGAGGGTATGATGCGCATCCTGCAGGCCGAGACTGCCGCTGGCACCGGGACGCCCACGGGCATCGCCGACAGCATCCTCAACATCACAGGTGTGGGTGAGGGCTGGGCAGGTGTGTGTGGCACCCCCCCCACCAGCCTTCTCCTGCCTCTCCCCCACAAGCGACCCCCACAACCTCTCCCGCTCCCACAGGCGACCTCATCCACTTGGCCAGTGCGGACGTGCAGGGCCCACAGCCCTCAGAGCTGGGCGCAGAGCCGCCCTCGCTCATGGTGGCGTCCAGAGCTTATCACCTCTCCTCGGCCCTCATGTGCATCCTCATGCGCTCCCGAGTCCTCAATGAGGAGCCCCTGACACTGGCGGGCGAGGAGATCGTGGCTCAGGGCAAGCGCTCAGACCCACTGAGCCTGCTGTGCCAGGGTAACGCCTCGGTTCCCGGCTGCCACTTCTCTATCCCCGCGGCCTTCAGCGGGGCCCTGTCCAACCTCAGTGACGTGGTGCAGCTCATGTTCCTTGTCGACTCCAATCCCTTCCCCTTCGGCTACATCAGCAACTACACCGTCTCCACCAAGGTGGCCTCCATGGCCTTCCAGACGCAGGCTGGGGCTCAGATCCCCATCGGGCAGCTGGCCTCGGAGCGCGCCATCACCGTGAAAGTGCCCAACAGCTCAGACCAGGCCTCCCGGGGCCGTCCCCCGACCCCGGCCGGCTCTGCTGTCGTGCAGCCCCAGGCCTCGGTCAGCGTTGTGGTCACCCCCGAGAACAGCAACCCCGCCGCCGGGCTGCATCTGCAGCTCACCTACACGCTGCTCAGTGGTGGGTGCCAGGGGTGGGGCACTCGCGGCTGCTGCCTCCTCCCAGCCTTGGCCCGGCCTCTCTGGGGGCAGGGGTGGGGGGTGAGCCGATGTTTGTCGCGGACCCCCCCAACTCTGTGGCCTTCAGTGAAGCCTGCCTCCCGCTCCCCGGGCTGCTGGGGGCCTGACCTGAGGGCGGTAAGGGATGAGGGCAGAGCAGGTGCAGCCCCAGCACAGAGAGTTCTCCAGCTCTCCAGCCCCCAGGAGTGGGGAGGGCCCCGCAGGGCTCCCGCGGGTGTCACCCGGGGTGTGCATGAATGGCCTAGGGCTTCCGTCCGACCCTGTGCTTGTGCTGCTAGAGCACTACTTGCCCGAGGAGCCCGAGCCCTACCTGGCCGTGTACTTGCACTCGGCGCCCCGGCCGAACGAGCACAACTGCTCGGTCAGCAGGAGGATCAGCCTGGAGCAGCTGATGGGCGACGACCACAGGCCCTATACCTTCTTCATCGCCCCGGGGTGAGCACGGGCCCTGCCACAGAGGACCCATCGGTGGGGTGGGGCTGGTCTCCGAGGGCAGGGTGAACGTGGTCTGGTCCGGGCGTGCCAAGGTCATGTGTGCTCCCCACGGGAACAGGTGTGGCGGCAGGAGGACCAGGACGTGGGCTGCCCTGGCAACACGTGGTGGGGGTAGCTCAGCCGAGAGGCCGGGGGCCAGAACATCGCTGTCACTCAGAGCCTGGGGCCGGGCAGGGTCTGGCTGTGACGCTCCCCCAACTTTTCCCAGGACCAGAGACCCAGGCGGGACTTACTACCTGAACCTGACTAGCCACTTCCACTGGTCAGCGCTGGAAGTGACCGTGGGCCTCTACGCGTCCCTGTGCCAGTACTTCAGTGAGAAGGACATGATGTGGAGGACGGAGGGGCTCGTGCCTTTGGAGGAGACCTCGCCCAGCCAGGCCGTCTGCCTTACCCGCCACCTCACAGCCTTCGGGGCCAGCCTCTTTGTGCCCCCCAGCCACATCCACTTCATCTTCCCGGTGAGTGGCACCACGTTCCTTCGTCCTGAGGAGGTGGGGCGTGGGCTGTGCCTCCAGGCCTGACGGCTCTGTCTCCCCAGGAGCCGGCCTCAGGCACGAACTACATCGTTTTGCTGACGTGTTCCGTGTGCCTGGTGACCTATGCGGTCATGGCCGTGATCCTGCGTAAACTGGACCAGCTGGACGTCAGCCGGGTCCGCGTCATCCCTTTCTGCGGGAAGGCGGGCCGCTTCAAGTACGAGATCCTGGTCAAGACCGGCTGGGGCCGAGGCTCAGGTGAGGGAGGGGCTGCCTCATGCAGGCCCCCGGGCCGCCCCTGCTTGCTCTCTCTGGCTCACTGTCCCTTGTAGACAACAGACCAAGGGCTTGGTTTACCCACTGCTTTGTGTGTAGGAGCTCGTCAGGCTTCTCAGGGCTCTTCGGCCACATAGGGCACCTGGGCGCGGGGCCTGCCCATGTGAGCGAGCTGGCGGTCCGTGCAGGGGCACAAGCTGTTACTGGGAAGACGGTACCCATAGCGAGCGAGGACAGCGTGACTCGGGTGTTAGACACACTGGAAACCAAAGCGTTCGGTTTCTTGATGCAAAACTTGTCTCGTGGTCTGGATGGTGCCCCCACGTGGCCACAGGATTTCCCGCGCCTGCCGCGTTGCCCCCCAGCCGTTCTCTCCTGATTGCTGTCCTTGTTTGCTTGGGAACGTTTGCGGTGAACCCCCCGCAGTGCCCACGTGCCCGGTGACTTTTGATCAGAATTCCTCTCCCTGTGCTACCACTTTTCATGTCCTCCCTGTGCTTTCACCCTTTGGAGGACCCAGTTCTGTAAAACATTGTGCGCGTTTATCCCCGGGACGGGAGCAGGGAACCGGCGGGTGCGTGGGGACGGGCCGCCGGTCGGAGCGCTGGTCCTTCGTTCCCAGAGCGGACCAGAGAGCTCGAGGCCACGTTTGGGCCTCCTGCAGTCACTCGGTTAAGCCGCTCGGATGCCAAGCATGCACGCCATGGGGGCCGAGTCTCTGGCGCGCTGAGGTAGCTGACGTGGGTCTGTGCAGAGCCGGGACCGCCCGCATCTGGTGGATGAAGGAAGGCATGCTCAGGCTCACGTGTCTGGTCTACGTGTCCGCCCACCCGCAGGTACCACGGCGCATGTGGGCATCATGCTGTACGGGGCGGAGGGCCGCAGCGGCCACCGGCACCTGGACGGGGACAGAGCCTTCCGCCGCAACAGCCTGGACGTGTTCCAGATCGCCACTCCGCACAGCCTGGGCAGCGTGCGCAGGATCCGCGTGTGGCACGACAACAAAGGTCTGTGGGGGCGCTTGCGGCCGCCCTGCCAGCACCCCGCCAGCGCCCTTCCGCCTGACTCAGCTCCCCCCCTCCCCTCAGGGCTCAGCCCCGCCTGGTTCCTGCAGCATGTCATCGTCAGGGACCTACAGAACGCCCGCAGCACTTTCTTCCTGGTCAATGACTGGCTCTCGGTGGAGACCGAGGCCAACGGCGGCCTCGTGGAGAAGGACGTGCTGGCAGCAAGTAAGGGCCCCGCCCGTCCCCGCATCAGCAGCCTGGAGGGGTGGCCCTGTGCCTCTGGCCTCCTGAAGCCCTCCCCTGCCCTCTGCCCAGGTGACGTGGCCCTGCGGCGGTTCCGGCGCCTCCTAGTGGCCGAGCTGCAGCGTGGCTTCTTTGACAAGCACATCTGGCTGTCCCTTTGGGACCGGCCGCCTCGGAGCCGCTTCACGCGTGTCCAGAGGGCCACCTGCTGCGTCCTCCTTCTCTGCCTTTTCCTGGGCGCCAACGCCGTGTGGTACGGGGTCGTGGGAGACGCTGCCTACAGGTGGGTGCCGCGCTGCGAGGGTCCAGGGGGCCCCTCCCGCCCTCCAGCCTGACCCAGCCCGGGTCTCTCTTTTCTCCTGCCGCACAGCGCGGGGCCTGTGTCCGCTCTGATCCCGCTGAGTGTTGACACAGTTGCTGTTGGCCTGGTGTCCAGTGTGGTCGTCTATCCCGTCTACTTGGTCATCCTGTTTCTCTTCCGGATGTCCCGGAGCAAGGTGGGCTGGGCGCCGTGGAGCTCCCGGAGGGTGGAGTACGGGCCTTACCGCTTGTGCCGAGGGCTGTCCAGTGTGGCTGCCAGAGAGGGAAAGTCAGCGAGGTCAGCAGCGCTGACCGGTCTTTAGCTAGACTGACCCAAGGAAACAGCACTGCAGATTGTCAAACTCACGCATGACTCAAGGGGACCTTGCCGCCGAGGCCACAGAAACCAGCAGGATGGATGGGGGTCCAGTGAACTGCTGTCCACCAGCCTGTCACATGACTGAGGTGAAATGGACAAGTTCCTGGGAGGACAAGCTCCCAGACCGACTCGGGAGGAAATCGCAAACCAGAGCCGACCTCTAGCAAGAGGCAGGCAGAGCCCTGTGAGACCTCACACGTGCACAAGCCCAGATGGCCTCTCTGACGGGCCCGCCACTGCCGAAGAATCCACAGCAGGCTTCGTGGACTGACTCGTCCCGGCCCATGCCGCCAGAGCCACACGGGGCCTCACAAGATGAGGGAGGTACCGGCTGAACAGCGGTGGCCTCCTCGGAAAGACCATCTGCCATAGGCCAGGAGTCCAGTGCAGTGACCAGCAGCCGCCTGGGGCTGCTTGTGTTCAGTTATCCTGGACTTCCTCAGGTGCACCAGCCACATTTCATGTGCTCTATAGCAGCATGGGGCTCGTGGCTACCCTGTGGACAGTGCAGATGCAAAACGTGTGCATCATTCTAGAACATTCTCTAGCACAGCACCAGTCTAGCTCTGCTCAGGAGACAGAAGTGCCTCCCGCTGACCGCCTGCCTCTTCCCGTAGGTGGCTGGGGGTCCGAGCTCCACCCCCGCAGGGCCGCAGGTACTGGACATCGACAGCTACCTGGACTCATCTGTGCTGGACAGCTCCTTCCTCACTTTCCCGGGTCTGCACATGGAGGTGAGTGTGCCCCCAGGGGCTCTGCTGGGGCAGGCGGGGGCAGGGGGGCCTCCTGCCACTCAGGCGGTCCAGAGTCTGAGGTATTCTCTGCACTTCTCAATAGGCCTTTGCTGGACAAATGAAAAGTGACTTATTTTCGGATGATTCTAAAAGGTAGGCGTCCACAGAGAAGATGGGAGCCTTGGTGTAGGTCCACCATGACCCGTGTGTGCTATGTTACGGCCGTGTGGGCTGTCGCGTGTCCTCGGCAGGTGCTTGCGGGCCCTGGGTGTTGCCACACGCTGTCTCAGCCATGTTTGTTCAGAAGCCTCTTGTGTCCGTGTGTGGTGGACTCGGGAATATGTGCACATGTGGTCCCCTGGGCTCCCTCGTTTGACCTGTGTGCCCTGCAGCCTGGTGTGCTGGCCATCCAGCGAGGGCACGCTTCATTGGCCAGACTTGCTGAGTGACCCCTCCATCGTGGGCAACACCCTGCAGCGGCTGGCCCGGGGCCGTGTGGGCCGCACGCTGGGCCCAGAGGAGGACGGTCTCTCCCTGGTCAGCCCCTCCTCACCTGCCAAATACTTCTCGGCTTCAGGTGAACAGGGGTGGGGAGGAGTGGTATCTTCGTGCTCTCCCCAGGGAGGGTCCAAGGTCGGGGGTTGGAGGGGCCCACGCCCTCCCTGACGTGTTCCTCTCCTCCCCCTAGATGAGGATCTGATTCGGCAGATCCTGGCTGAAGGGGCCAGCAGCCTGGCCCCCACCCAGGACACTCAAGTAGAAACAGATCTGCTCACTAGCCTGTGAGTGCCTGTCCTGGGGGTTGGGAGGCAGTGGGGAGCCCAGGCCGAGAAGCCCTGTTCCCGAGCTCCGGGGCCCAGCCTTGTGCTGTGCTGGGTCCCCCACTGCGGGGCTGGGCGATGTGTGGGAAGGACCTCACGGGGTGGCCCCGGGCCAGTAACCATTGCCTGCAGGCTACAGAAGCGAGTGGCGAGTGGAGGGCAGAGGCAGCCAGCGTGAGGCAGGGCCTGGCTGCAGGGAGGGGTCCCCGGCATGTTTTCTAAATAGTCTTTGTTTTTTTGGCAGCAACTGTTCGGATTTTATATTTTTAAGACTTTCTCAATTTCTGGGTTGGATGGTTCATATAAAATTTTATTTATTTTTTTCCTCTAATATCTATTTTCCTGTTTCTTTTTTAACTTTTCTCATTTTCAAGCAACCAAAAATAACAGACGTAAACTGTCCCAGAACACAGAGAAAAGGGGAAAGTATCTCGAATTCTTTTACAAAAACATAACTGTGGCATGATTGTATTTTTATGAAGAAATTGCCAATCGACTCAAAAGGTCTCTAATATGGGGAAATCCTGGGATAGTAGCTCTAAGCGGAGCAGACCCGGTACCTCCAGCCCAAGACGCTGCCTGCCCGTGTCGCCGCGTGCAGGGCAGGACTCGGTCACTGGTGTCGGCTGGCCGTCCTAGCCGTGACTGGCCACCTGCCGAGCGAGAGCGCCTCGTGTCTGTAGGAGACTCTCCAAGCCCGACACACTGAGCGCAGCTCCGGGCCAGGTGGCTGCTCGCACCGCGAACAGTCAGGGCACAGCTGTGCAGAGACCACAGCAGGTGTGCACGCTTGCCCCCCAGGAGGCACCTGTCGCATTCCCGCTTCACATTCCCCCTGCCCCCCCATCTGCCCCTGCAGCCCCCCCTTCTCTGGTGGAGCAGCTCTGAAGCTGGCAAGGTCCGCCAGGCGTCCCCCGGTTCGCAGAGCACATGTACTGTTGGAATTTGAAAGACAAATAGGTCTCCTCACCCAAAAACTAGCAGTCTTAAGTCACAGAGCTGCATCAGAGCACGGGAGGTGGAGGGCAAAGGTGGGAGGTGTGGGCAGCGCTCACTGGGAGGTTTCAGGCTGAGTAGGTGTGCGGGTGTGAAGAGCAGGCCAGGCCCGGGGCTTGGGGACGGGGCTGGCGGCCGCTGCAGCGGTGCGGTGAGCGGCGGACCAGGTCCCAGGTGGGTGCGGTGAGGACTCCATCCACTGGTGGAGGAAGCGGGAGGTGAGGAGGACCCGGGAAGGGAGGCTGACACAGGTCTGCAGTGTGAGGAGCAGAGTGGGTGTTGGGGCCCCTCCTCAGAGTCCCTGGTGGGGTTCTGAGCCCCAGCACCAGGTCCACCCAGCTTGGGGCCGTGTCTTCCATCTCTCTGCTGACCGTGGGGAGGGGGCTGCACAGCCAAAGAGGCTCAGGAGCTGGAACTGCCTGCCGCCTCTCCTCTCCTTTTGGCGCCAGGTGAGCAGGACTACTCCCCTTTTCTGTGCTTCAGGTCCAGCGCCCCCGGGGAGAGGACAGAGACGCTGATGCTGCCGAGGCTGGGGGAGAGGGGGCTGCCCAGCCCAGGTCTGACCTGGGAGCAGCCCCAGTTGGCAAAGCTCTCCAGCACAGGTGCATTCTGGGGTCCCCAGGACGCCCCTCCACGCCCCTTCCTGTGGGCTGCCTGTCACCGGTCTGTCTCCCTCCCCAGGGCTGGTGGACGGTCTGCGGAGGCGGCTGCTGCCGGCCTGGTGTGCGCCCCTGGCCCATGGACTCAGCCTGCTCTTGGTGGCTGCAACTGTGGGGGTCTCGGGCTGGGTGGGTGCCAGCTTCCCCCCTGGCGTGAGTGTGATGTGGCTCTTCTCAAGCAGCTCCAGCTTCCTGGCCTCCTTCCTTGGCTGGGAGCCTCTCAAGGTAAGTGGGATGTGGGGGCCCAGCTGCCAGGCTCTGGCACCTCCGGGCCCCTCTGATGCCCCCCCCACCCCTGACGTAGGTTCTGCTGGAAGCCCTGTACTTCTCACTGGTGGCCAAGCGGCTCCATCCTGACGAGGATGACACCCTGGTGGAGAGCCCAGCCGTGACGCCTGTGAGCGAGCGTGTGCCCCGCGTGCGGCCCCCCCACGGCTTTGCGCTCTTCCTGGCAAAGGAGGAAGCCCAAAAGGTCAAGAAGCTGCACAGGATGCTGAGGGTGAGCTCAGGCACAGCTGACCAGCAGCTGTGCTCCTGTCCCCCGTCTGGGCCAGCGCGCTGTCTTCCTGTATGTTCTCCCTTTGTCGAAAACCTCACACCTGCCCTTGGCTCCCCACAGAAGGCCCTTTGGCCCTGCCCCACCTTCTGTCACCCCCGATTCGTACCGCCCCAGTCCTTGCTCTGCCTCTTCTCATGCTCAGGTCAAATGCCTCCTACTGCCTGGCCTCTAGGGACCCTGGGGGTGGTCTCAGCCTTTGGTGGGACCATGTCTGCCCCCTACCCCTGGCGGGGCATTGGCAGGTGTCTGGGCTGCCTTCTTGGCACCAGGCACCTTGGCCGTGGGCAGTTTGCTGGCCAGCTCTGTTGCGGTGGGCCCGAGTGGGGTTGGCTGACCCCAGGGCTGTCCTCGCCCCCAGAGCCTCCTGGTGTATATGCTCTTCCTGCTGGTGACGCTGCTAGCCAACCACGGGGATGCCTCATGCCACAACCATGCCTACCGCTTGCAGAGTGCCATCAAACAGGAGCTGGGCAGCCAGGCCTTCCTGGCCATCACCCGGTACGGACACCCCCGAGTGCACACACGTACCTGCCTAGGGAGCTGCTGATGCCAACCAGGTCCCATCTTTCCTGGCCTTCATCCAACCCAGTCCCCGGGGGACGTGGGCAAGTGTCTTGGTACGGTTTTGATTTGTCAGGACTGGATATGGTGCCCAGGATAGCCCCCTGACACTTATTTGCCCCAAATACCAGTAGCGTAAGATGAGGGAATGCGAGTCTTTCCCTTGTCCTGCCGGGTGGCCCTGGCAACCTGCTGTTGGCTGGGCTGGGGCTGCAGGAGCGATGCTCTCTGGGGCTCTGACCCGCCTGCCCCATGGGGTGGAGCATGTGACTGTGTCTGTGGGCAGGTCTGAGGAGTTCTGGCCGTGGATGTCGCACGTGCTGCTCCCCTACATCCACGGGAACCGGTCCAGCCCAGAGCTGGGGCCCCCACGGCTGCGTCAGGTGCGGCTGCAAGAAGGTGAGTGGCTTCTGGCTGATTGCCGTGTGCCCTTTACCTTCTCCCTGCTGTTTCTTTATCTGTGAAACCAGGACCCCTACCTTCTGGGCTCAGGGAGGCTTTGGGCGATCATGTTGGGTCCAGCCCAGGCAGCTGGTCAACAGTAAGTGCTCCTGGTTTAGTCCTGCTCATTCCCTGCAGCACTCTGCCCAGACCCTCCCGGTTCAGGGGTGCCTGCGTGCTCTGCAGCCTCTGGCACCTTCAGCACCGGCGACTATGGCATTGGCTGGGGGAGTGCTGCCCACAATGGCTCGGAGACGTGGGCCTACTCTGCACCAGACCTGCTGGGGTGAGCACAGAGGGCGCGCCCGGGGTTCCTGCGGGGCCAGGGCCTGGCTCTAACACTGTTCCTTCGTCAGCAGTGTCTGGTCCTGGGGCTACTGCGCTGTGTACGACAGCGGGGGCTACGTGCAGGAGCTGGGGCTGAGCCTGGAAGAGAGCCGCGCGCAGCTGGGCTTCCTGCAGCTGCACAACTGGATCGACAACAGGTGCGGTCGTCTGAGCTCCCTGCCACCCCCCTCATCTGCCCTGCAGGACCTCAGGCAGGCACACGGCCCCTACCGGTCCTCCTCCCACCACCAACTTTGCGGCTCCCCATTCGTTCCTGACGAGCCTCACTGACCACTCGACCTCCACCTCTTCCCGGGTCCGTGCATCACCCGCCCCGAGAGCCCCTTCCTCAGGGAAGGCACGCGGGTCTTCTCACCCCGCCCCCTTCTCGCCGCGTAGGAGCCGCGCCGTGTTCGTGGAGCTCACGCGCTACAGCCCGGCCGTGGGGCTCCACGCCGCCATCACGCTGCGCCTCGAGTTCCCTGCAGCCGGGCACGCCGTGACCGCCCTCAGTGTGCGCCCGTTCCCGCTGCAGCGCCTGAGCGCCGGCCTCTCACTGCCGCTGCTCACCTCGGTGGGTGCTGGCCCCGCCCCGCCCCCGCGGTCCTCCTATCGCAGGCCCCGCCCACTTCTCGCCCCGCCCCGTCCCTCCCCAACTCCTCCCGGCGCCGGCCCCGCCCTAGCCAGTGTTGGCCCCGCCCCCGCAGGTGAGCCTGCTGCTGTTCGCGCTGTACTTCTCGGTGGCCGAGGCGCGCGTGTGGCACAGGGAAGGGCGTATACGCGCGGTGCAGCCCGGGGCCTGGGCACGGTGGCTGCTGGTGGCACTGACCGCGGCCGCGGCGCTGGTGCGCCTGGCCCAGCTGGGTGCCGCCGACCGCCAGTGGACCCGCTTCGTGTGCCGCCGCCCGCGCCGCTTCACCAGCTTCGAGCAGGTGGCGCAGCTGAGCGCCGCGGCTCGCGGGCTGGCCGCCTCACTGCTCTTCCTCCTTCTGGTCAAGGTGAGGGCTGGGCCGGCGGGGGCTGGCTGGGGGCTGGGCCGGGCTGGCCGGGGTTCGGTCAGCTGACCCCTCTTGCCCGCAGGCCGCACAGCAGCTGCGCTTCGTGCGCCAGTGGTCGGTTTTTGGCAAGACGCTGTGCCGGGCCCTGCCGGAGCTCGTGGGGGCTGCCGTGGGCCTGGTGGCGCTCGCTGTGGCCTACACCCAGCTGGCCGTTCTGGTAGGTGACGACGGGGAGGCCGGCGGGGGAGGGTGGCGTAGCCCGGGAGGCGCCCCTCACCCGCGCCACCTTTCCTGCAGCTGGTGTCCTCCTGCGTGGATTCGTTTCGGAGTGCGGCCCGGGCCCTCTTGGTGCTCTGCCCTGGGTCCGGGGTTCCTGCCCTGTGCCCTACTGAATCCTGGCGCCTGTCCCCGCTGCTGTGCACGGGGCTCTGGGCCCTGCGGGTGTGGGGGGCCCTGAGGCTGGGGGCAGTCCTCCTGCGCTGGCGGTACCATGCTCTGCGTGGGGAGCTCTACCGACCAGCCTGGGAGCCACAGGACTATGAGATGGTGGAGCTCTTCTTACGCAGGCTGCGCCTCTGGATGGGCTTCAGCAAGGTTAAGGAGGTGGGTACGGCCCAGTGGGGGGGAGAGGGACACACCCTGGGCCCAGGTGAGCCCAGGGTGCAGCCGGACTGACCGAGCCCCTGTGCCGCCCCCAGTTCCGCCACAAAGTCCGCTTCGAAGGGATGGAGCCGCTGCCTTCCCGCTCCTCCAGGGGCTCCAAGTCTTCCCCGGATGCACCACCCCCCAGCGGGGGCTCTGATACCTCACGGCCCTCCACCTCCTCCAGCCAGCTGGACACGCTGAGCGGGGGCCTGGGCCGGTTGGGGCCCCGGGGGGAGCCTGAGCCCTCACGGCTCCAAGCCGTGTTCGAGGCCCTCCTTACCCAGTTCGACCGACTCAACCAGGCCACAGAGGACGTCTACCAGCTGGAGCAGAGGCTGCAGAACCTGCAGGGCCGCAGGAGCACTGGTCCCCCAGCCTCCCCTCCCTGCAGCCCCTCCTCACACCTGCGGCTAGCCCTGCCCAGCCGTCTTGCCCGGGCCAGCCGAGGCATGGGCCTGGCTACTGGCCCCAGCAGGGCTTCCCTGCGGGCTAAGAACAAGGTCCACCCCAGCAGCACTTAACCCCTGGGCCCTGGGCTCATAGCCCTTCCCTGGGGTGGGTCTGCGGCTTCACTCCAGCTTCTCGAAGGGAGCTGGAGCAGACACCGCTCAGTATTAACTTCTGCCGCCCTCAAGGTCTCGGGCCAGGCAGGAGAGCTGCACGAAGGTCCCCCTGGGAGGAGGCAGCCGTTGTCTCTGTCTGGGGGTCTCAGCACTTTAAAGAGGCCATGTGGGCAGCCCCCAGCTCCCCATGGGAGGACACAGCAGTATTGGGCCGAGTGCCCAGCCTCTGAGATGCTAATTTATTACCGGAGTCCTCAGGTACAGCGGGCTGTGCCCGGCCCCACCTCCTGGGCAGATCTCTCCCCTTTGCTAAGGATCCAGGCTTCGGGGAGGGAACCTGCCCCTCCCGTGGTCTTCCCCCCTAAGTTATTACCTCTCCTGTGCCCCTGCTGAGTGCACTCCCCTTCTGCTGCCGTCTGTGTGTCTATCGTCAGTAATTTATATGGGGTTAAAATGTATATATTTTTGTACGTCGCTCTATTTTTCACTAGGGCCCAGGGACCCGCTAGCTGAAGCAGTCCTGTGCCCACTGTCACCCACGTTGAGGGGCAGCGGGGACGGCAGAGCAGGTCTCCCTCCCCAGACACCTGACTGGAGGGCCAGCACTGGCCTGGGACAGGTGCTGGGAGGGGAGGCTTGTTTGTTAGAAGGGCCCAGTCCCCTCCTAGGCAGTTCTGTTCCCCCCCCCCGCCCCAGGGGCCTTGTTCTGTGCCCAAGGCTGCGCAGCGAGAAGGCAGGGCCCAGACCTGCTGGTGCCGGGTCGGGGTGAGGAGCAGGGCGAGGGCAAGACGGAGGTGGTCAGATGGAAAGAGCCCTCCCCGGGGGCTGGCTCCTGGGGCTGGGGCAGGTGAGCACGGGGCCGTGTGTGGTGGTGTGGGTGGCCGGGACAGGCCCCGCACCATGGCTGGTTGCGCGGGGGGGGGGGGGGGGGGCGGAGGCTGCGGGTTCCGAGGGAGGTAAAGGGGGGGGGGGGGGGGCTGCCCAAGCTAGCGCCTTGATCCCACCCCCACCGGACAAAGTCAAATAAACCAGCTGGTTGACTGCATCTGTGTCTGAGCCACGCGGGCCAGGAGGCACCGCGGCTTTATTTCGTGCGCACATGTCCACACGGGGCAGCCTCACACGAACTCCGTGAAGTCATCCACTGAGGAGATGAGGCGCTTCCGCTGGCCCGTCTCATACGTGGGCGTGGGCTCTGCCGGCGCCTGAGCAGGGGCTTTGGCGTGGCCCGGGGGATGCATCTGCATCAGGGGCAGGCTGGGGTTGGAATAGTGGGCTTCCTCCCGGATCTGTAGGAGACGGGAACTTCAGCAGCCAGCCCCGAGGCAGGGGGCACATGCCCCCGCCCCACCTGCCCGCCACAGGGGGTCTGGGTCCCCTCTTCCCTACCCGGTGGCGGAGCCGCTTGATGTGGCGGAGCCTGGCGATCCACTTGGAGGGGTAGATGTCAGTGGGGTTGGAGCGGCTGTGATGTACCTGTGAGGCCATCTGGGGGCGGGGGGGGAATGGTGAGCCCTCGTGGGGTGGCACCTGTGGGCCCTTCCCACCCCGCCCCTGGCCCATCCTCTCTCTCTGCTCACGTTTGCGTGCAGAGCCATCTGACGGGCCACAAAAGGCAGGTTGCGGTCTGACACGATCTTGGCCACGCTGGTATCCACGAGACCCTCCATGTCTGGGGAGAAACAGAGCTCACCCCAGGGCTCAGGGTCCTGAGTACCACCCCGCCCCGCCCCACCCCGTGGCTCACCTTTCCTGCACTGCAGGGTCACCAGGTTGCACTCATAGTCCAGGGGGGTGATGATGACATGGACGAAGTTGAACTGACCCTGCCCGGACGAGAGCAGAGGTCACCCGGCCCCGAGGACCACTGTCTGCCACTTCCTCCCTCAGCTCGGGCAGGTGGTGGGCTCATCGGGGCGGGTGGCTCGCTACCTGAAGTAGCCTGGGCTCTGCTCACACCCTCCTTCCCACCACAGCTGCCTTCCCTCTCAAAACCCCACCTATTCCACATCTGGTTCCCAACCACTGAATCCACCGAGTTCGGATTCAGTCATGACCCCAGACGGGTCTGCGGCCCCTGTCCTCCCCTCCCTGTGGCTCCGGCTGCCACTTGCCTGTCATCCAAGAGCAGCACAAGGAGCTCGGCACGTGCCCAGCCCCCAGCTCTGCACCCCTGCCCGCTCCTGGCTTCTGTCCAGTGACCTCACCCGAGGCTCCCCGCTGTGTTCAGAACACACCCACAAACTTCTGAGCACCAGCACCCCTGCCGCTGGGGCCGGCATGCTGACAGCTCCCCACTGCCCGGCCTCACAGCTGTCTGGCACATCCCCCCACACCCCGTGACAAGTCTCCCGGACTCAGCCCGCCTCCCGCCGTGGGGCCTTGAGCCCTAGCGGCATCCTCTGAGAAAGGTGGTGACCCAGAAACCAACCCCAGCTGCCGTGGGCACACAAGGGAGGTGCCAGGCAGACGGACTCGGAGCCCTTCCGGAGACACACACAGCACCTCCCGGGCATCCCACAGCCCACTAAGTACACGTGCACAGCAACTCCGTGACTCCCCACACTACCACCACCGGTGCCCCAGCTTCCGTGGGAAACCGATGGGGCCACTGTCCCCGTCCTTGTCATTCCAGAGAAGGACGCTGGCTCCCAGGGGGGTCTGCACGGGAGGCCGGTGCCCCTGCGGCCGGCATGCTGACCCTGCCCGGGCCCGCCCCCAGCACCCCCACTCACTCTGATGGTGCCCAGCTTGAAGTCCTCGCCGGAGTCGTTGTACACAATGGACACGAAGTCATTGCCCAGATGACGCTTCTTGTCACAGCGGTGCTTGTCCACGTCTTTGGTGGGCATCAGGGTGGCAATGTGGAAGACAGCTGCAAGGCGGACCCGGACGAGCGCTCACAAGGCTGCTCGGGGCTTGTGTCGGTGGGGCTGGGGCGGGGGGGGCACCTCTCGGCTTCCCCAGGGGCTCTCAGTGCCCGCCTGGCAGCAAGGCACCCCTCCCCGAAGGCAGAGCTTCTGGAAGCGGGGCCGCCAGCCCCCGCGCTGCCTGCACGCCCAGACAGACAAAGGCAGGCCCTCGGCCCCGCCCGTGGCCCCCCGACGGCGGACGGCGGGAGCTGCGTGGCCAGGCGCGTACCTTGCATGATGTCGTCGTGCCAGCAGTAGGTGAACTGGCCGTCCTCCCCGCACACGTCCAGACCCCCCAGGTACACCTTGTCCGGCTGGCAGTCCTTGAGCTCGATGAGCTTGCCCAAGCCGGTCAGGAACTCCGTGTACCTGTACGAGCCGTGCTCATTGGACAGGATGGCCAGCTCGCTGCTGCTCTGTGGGCAGGGAGGAGCACGCTGGCACCCGCCCCGCCCCCCACGGCTCCCGGGAGCCCGGAGTCTGTACAATGCCACCCTGCACTCCCATCCAATGTGCTCACGGGACCTTCCCAACACATCCAGAAGCCCAGCAATCCTCGGAATCCCGGCCCCAGGCCCCAGCCCTGCCCCTCACAGGGACCGCCAGCACCTGCCTTCCATCGGTTCTCACACATGGCAGTCGGAGGGATGCTCTGGACGCTTAGGCTGAGTCACCTTGAACCCTTTGCTCAGAACCATTCACGGCCCGCCCACCTCCCTGGGAATGGCCCACGAGGCTGTCCACATCCACTGTCCACACCCACCCTCCCCCCGTTTACTTCCCTGCCCCACCTACCATCCCCCACGCAGTGGACACAGCACCAGCCACCCGCACCTGCCATTCCCACACAGGAGACTCCTGTCCCTCACTTTCTCCACACCTGGATCCCCAATGCGAGAAGTGCCCTGCTCACACCTGCGGGATCCCGGCACCTGCCCACCACCTCCACAGTGCTGGGCACTCCCTTGGGCACCACGAGCTCACACACTCACCTGTCACTCCTGCCGTGTCCCTGGCACCGGAACGGTACCCGGCATAAGGCTCCCTGAGCACCGGCCATGTGGCAGCTCATGCAGTGACTGAGCTCTGTGACGGACCAGGGTGCAGACCCTGACCCCTACCCCAGGCAGGAAGGCCACACAACTCCACCCTCGCACCCAGGAGCCTCACCTGGCCTTCTCCCACGTACAGGACGGCAATCTTGTGCGTGTCATAGGATGGAATCTGGTCGAGAAGCTGCACTGACCGCTCGAAGGACTATAGCCACAAAGCCCTGCCTGAGCTTGGGCGGAGGCCATCCCCTGCCACCAGCCCTACCACCAGCCCCAGCCCGACGCCCTTCCAGGGAAGGCTCTCCTCACGCGGGTAAGTCACTGTAGGCTGCCCCAGGGAGCTGAGGCTGTACCTTCTGCAAGCCTGGGCTATGGCCGCCACCACCAAGAGTGAGGGCATCCCACGGCACCCCCCACCCAGGCTCCAGGGGGGACCCCACAGGGGAGAGAAGGCACCCACCCACCTCATTGGGTAGAAGAATGGGCTTGTTGGACTCGTCACCAAAGAAAGGTGAATGGTAGAGCTGCAGGAACACAAAACTGCAGGGGGAAAGACGGGGAGAGCTGGGCTGGGAGCTGCGGGCCAGGTCGGGGTCACAGCCAGTACTGTCTGCCCACGCACAGAACAGCAGACCTGAGCCTCTCTTGTGGCTCCAACCAGCCACAGGGCCGAGGCCACGCGACCTGCAGCCCAGCCTGTGGCAGGGCCCCTCAGGTACCACGTCCCCACAGGGACCATCCAAGAGCTCCAGCAGCTCCAGCCCCAGAGAGCAAGGCTCACCTGGGATTGATGCCTGGCACCTTCTCAGTATTGGAGGCCCCAGCTCTGCTCTTGAAGGCGTCCTTCTCTACTCTCTTGCCTCTGCGTGATGGGGCCGAATCAGAGATGGTGTAGCCTCTGGGCCGCAGGCCACTGGGGGAGCGGGGGCAGCTAGAAGGCAAGGGACCCTCGGGCTGCACGGGGCCCCGGCCCTGGTTCTCTTCGCCTGGGGCTGACCAGGAGGCACCTGCCCCGTCCAGGATCCCGGACTGGGACCGGGCCTTGGCCTCAGGGCTCAGCCG